GCCCAGATGGACTGGACCCCATCTGATAACAGACAAACTGTCTCCAATTGTCTATCAGATAAAAATCAGTAAAGGCCAAAAAGAGCCAACTGTTAAATGGGTACATCGTAACCAGGTTAAACCACACAAGGCGTGCAATAACTACTCAGGAGACAAAGATCTCACAAAATCTGACCTCGTGGGAATAAGGGTCATCCAAGCAGAAGATAACTAATGGATAATAAACTTAACCATAGTTTAAACTCACAGAACCTACCCTTGATAAAACGGGACAGCGTGACTGAATCTGACAACCAGGGTGAGGTGAAGCAGTGAAACGATGTTTTTAGTTGCTTAGTCACTACTCTTGTCGGTGTTGAAACGTTGCTGAATTGGTTTTGGTTGTTTCTGAGGTAAGAATGAATTTTTTGTGTAAGTTAAGTTAGAGACTAAGAGGCCTTTAACCATGCCAACATGCAGTTCATTCGTTAAATTGCAATCTTTGCGGAGTCAATGTATATTATTGCTACCTTAAGTACCATAATCTACATTGATCTCACAACGCGTAAGCCGAACCTACTCGAACAATTCTATTCGGGGGGATAGCTAATTCTTTTTGATAAGTCTCGCCATAGACTTCCAAAAACATTTATGGGAAAACCAAACACCCAATCTCAAGTCGTTCGTCTAAAAGACAACAGACAATTGAACCAAACTATATTTTGCCATGTAAAGCTAACTTAAACCAAGTTAGAAATGGAAAAATAGTTTGGAACCCTTTTCTATAGGTATAAACCCCTGTAGTTACCCCTTTTCAGCATGTTCCACCCCTTAACTGGTAGTTGTAGCTGTTCCCAACCATAATAGCTTACACACCAGGTGCATATAGTTTAAGGCCTTATGTAAAATCCCCTTCATAAGCCCACCTTAAACCACATAATTGCATGTCACATTTGAACCAGAATGGCACAGGCTGGACGTCGCCCAGAGACGACCTTCGCTGGAGGCGACCTGCAATCCTGACGTTGGTCTCCACTCTTCATCCAGTGGCCGCATCTTCAGTTCAATCCAAGGGTACCCCTCTGTATGCTGATCAATCAACACTTCCAATCGTTGTGGATTTACCGTTGTGGATTATATGACTTTTTCCAATGGATTACAGACTCTGTTTCCAAGGGGTTAAAGCATTGCTACAATGGAATTACCGAGAACATTGTGGAATTACCTTGACTTTGTTTTCCTTGCTGGATTACTTTTGACTTTTGTTTTCCTTGCTGGATTACTCTTGACTCTTGTTTCTTTGCTGGATTACATCAAGCTTCAAGGACAATTGAAGGCGTAAGTTCATAGCTGGAATTCATCCCCATGGACAGGTGATGATTTCCAAAGGGGGGACTGTAGTGAACTTAACCTGATGTCAAGACTAAGCCTAAGGTCAAAACCCTTGACCTTAAGAACCTTGTGGGACAGAAACTGTCATTTCATTGATTTGAATCCAGAAATACAGGTTCACCCATCCTGAGACTCTCTTTCTTGAAAATCAAGTGGAAGAACACTCTCTTTTTATTATCATTACTATTTTACAAATGTTGATAATCAATGTGTCTTAGTTCAAACCATTTTAGATGTTGCAGTGAACTAATCAATTTTATTAACTGTGGAACAGTGTAATGATTTTTAATGCTTATGCAAAGTTAGAATTCATGTTAAAGCTGTTACAGAGTAATTATGCATTTTCTGATTTCTGTCTTTGAATGAGCAAGTGTGCGTTTTGCAAGGTCAGGAATTGAAGCAGACATGTGTTGGAACAACTGCCTTGTTTTTACATCCTCTCAGACGTCAACAGGGGGGTTTTGGCACCTGTTTCTAAAACTCGCCAAAACAAAACACTCTCTGTCTCTGAGAACAGTTTAGCCTGTTCCATAACAATTCTTGCTTTTTCTGACTCTTAGTAACCCTCTTACATCACAAAACACACCCCTGTCTGGTCGGTACTGACTAATGGGAAGACTCCCGAATGATCCGGGAAAAGAGCTCTTAAAAATGCCGGTACTTCCTAGTTCTCACAGAGTTGAGTTGAGTTGAGTTGAGTTGAGGGGAGATGAGTTCTGAGTCTGAACAGTTCGGTCCTGCGCTGAGAAGTTGTTTGGGAGAACAGAAGTCCAGCATGATAAAGCTCTTCCGAGTTTCATGGGATTATAACATTTTCCACTGAGGTGAGCTTGTGTCGGACAGAATCTCGCCATTACTCCGGAGTATTCACAGCCATCCTACGGAGACGCTGAAAGGGTGCGTTAAACGGAATCTCGCCTGAGACATCTCCAGGTAAAAGAGTCGATTTCACCACCTAAGTGTACTGTAAGGAAGAAGCTGAAGAAAGCCCGGAGAGTGCCGTTCTGTTCAACACTCTCCCTCAAACACCATCTTTCACCCCCTTTAAACTTCATCTTTTCATCTTTAATTTCTTCTCTAAAGTAGAAATCCTTCCAGATAATTTAGAAATGTCTGTGTAAAGTGCTCATCCACCGCCGTGTGGGTAATTGAACATAATTGTACAGTTTTCATAAATGTCTGTGGTGAAGCAACGGAAAATCATGGCCGTATGGTTTTCCTGATTGATTATGTGTTATTTTCATATTTTGCCAAATTAATGTAAATGTTTGATGTTAAACTTTGATTCTGTAAATAAATGACCGCATTCATTTTGATGGGTCAAAGATAAATGACGTCTCACGTTTGCATTTCATTAAATTCAATGCACGTTTTATTCAGTCCAGAAAAATGAGGAATCCGTGTTAATTGATGAATATATCTGAGCATCTGTTCATCTACACACATATATATATATATATATATATATAAAGTAGGGATAGTACTACTATCCCTACTTTGCGATTTTTCACTTATTGTGGGGCTTCAGGGTACGAATCTACCGCGATAAACAAGGGACTACTGTAGTAGTATTTTAGTATAGCTATATAATTGACTATTCTAGTATTATGTTTTTTGCAACACTAATAATACTAGTTGCATATCTGTTTTTATGCATAAGCAATTTGATCATAAGACGTGTTTAAAATTTTGTTTTTATAATCATCATATTGTGACACTGTGATATTTTAACTCAAGGTTATCAAACCAACTAACTTCTTTTGTTTTTGTCATGGTTTCAGCTATGATGCTAGCTGCTCCAGGGTCATCAGTGACGGGGATGAAAGGACGTGAGGAGGCTCCACAGGCTGAAGGAGTCACGGCTGAAGATGGCGTGACTGCATCTTCTGACGAAGGTGCCTGTTAACACACAAATCACACACATTTATCCACCACATTAACAAAGTGCAACATCAATAGTGTGAAAAAAAAAATCATCAGACTTTCATTCAAAGAATAATTATTTTGTTCTATTTCGTATAGGCTTCGCTCTTTAAGGCTATCGCTAGTGCGTTTATCCCTTCGCGCACAGCGCAGCACTGAAAACTTTAGTCCACGCCCACCTACTGTATGGGCCTCAACTCCGGTCCGTATAAATTACGGTGAGACCGGGTAATCGGCTCCCATTTTTTCTTCAGCCAGCTAGCTAGCACTGTCAGAAGAACGAAGAAGGAAAAGTTGTCCAGCTTTGACCGGCACAATCTTTGCTAAAGATGCCTTGGTCTCCACCACGCCAACTTCCTGCCGTCCCAGTGAGCTCTTCCTCCCCGAGGAGAAGCAGAGACTAGCAGCCTTGTTCAAGGTAAGTGCCGAGGAGTGCTTTTCCGTGGCGGGCCGCTACCCGCTGGACGACGCCATCGCCTTTTCTAACGTATTTTCCTTGTGGTAATCGAATGATTTCCTCGAAAAAGGCGATGTTAGCAGCAGCCCCGCTGAATGTTTTTCTGTGGAAGGCTGCTACTCGCTGGACGACGCCACCGCCTTTTGTAACGTGTTTTTTTCTCGATGTGAATTGGATGATTCCCTCAAAAAGGCGTTGTTGGCAGCAGCTCCGCTGAGTGCTTTTTTCTGTGGCGGGACGATATGCGCGGGACGACGACACCGCATTCTTTGACGCAGAGTCACGCAGTGAATCGAATGATTCCTCCGAGAAATTCGATGCGGAGCTGCCCCCTCCCTCCTAGAGAGCGTAGTGACGGAAGACGAGCGGCCGAGCAGATGCTCAGCCACCTCGGATCGTCCCACGTCAGCGACCACACCGCTCCCAGCCGTCGGCGCCCTCCTCTCGGAGCTGCCCGGCAAAATCCAAGAGGATGTTAACACAAGGGACTTTCCGTCCCTCGCCTCCCTCCGCCCTGATCGGATGATCTGGCGGCAAGATTTGGCTCCGCCCCGGCTCATCGCCCTGATACCATCTGGCCTCGCAGTCCAGCTGTGACATCACACTGGAACGAGGCTGCAGTGGAGGGTTTTACCGATTGGTGTTTTTCCCTCGGTCCCTCCCCCGGAGCCAAGCCTGGCGGTGGCACTTGGGGCAAAAGCTTCTAGGATGGACCAGCAACCTGTCCCTCCAGGGAAGCATAACCAGATGGTGACAAAGGTCTCCAACCGAGCTCACCAGTGATCATTCCAGACGTCAGCAGCGAACAACAACAGCGCCCTGCTGGCCTACAGCATCTCTAAGAGGCTGGAGGAAGCAGACCTGCTGGAGGAGACAAAGAGCTCTCTCTGTAAAGCTGCTGATGTCATCTTAAACATGTGCCACCTCTGCGGTCTGCCTGTCCCGCATCACCGCCTGAATGACCATGATCCAGAAGACCACTTGGCTCTGCCTCTTGCTGTCCTTGTCCGAGAGGCTGCAGAAGGACCTGCTGGAGGGCCCAATCACCCCAGAGGTGCTGTCCGGGGCCAACTTCAGGATCATCCTTGAGAAACCGCAGAGGTCCGAGGAGGTCTCAGAGACTGTACAACATCTGGTTTTGTCACAGTCCTCCTCCCACCCCTCCGGCCGCTGGAGGGATCGCCGTGGCCAGCAACAGCAGTAGAGGCGCACCACAGCTGCAGCAACGACTTCACACTCCGCTCCTCCGCCGGCCCCCTCCACCAGGGACCAGCTCCTTGAGAGGAATGTGTGTGTTCTTTGACGAGGTATGTTTTGAAATCTAACAGAAATATCTCTGAAAGTAAAATTTAATCTGATTCAAACCTGACTGTCAGATCAAGTGAGCTCACAGCTACCTCTCTTCACACTTTCCCTACACAGAACAAGCCGGTAATCTCAAACAGCGTTTTTAAATGGCACCGCAGTTCTGTAAATATCACAAAACACTCGCCTGCCAAGTTAGCTAAGTTAGAGGAAAATACGTTTTTTTTGGTCTCCTCCCACTACTTCCTGGTTCTGAAAAAAAAAAAAACCAGAGGGATGAGACCCATTCTCGACCTGTCCATGTTCAACAATTCGATCATGGAGAGACATTTCCACATGCTGACAATCAAACAGCTGCTGGAAAACTTCACCTGAACGACTGGTTCACCTCCATACATCTGAAGGGCGCATAATTTCACATTTCCATCCTTCTGAAACACAGGAAATTCTTGCGTTTTTCTCATCCAGGGGATTCCGTATCAGTACAACAGGCTACCATCGGTTATTCCCTCATCCCACGCACATTCTCAAAATGCGTGGAGATGGCTCTGCAGCCATCACACATGACAGGAATGAGAATTCTTTTTATCTGGATGATCTGCTTTTATTAGATCAGTCCAGGCAGAAAGCAGCTGCGCAGACCAAATGCTAGCATTACATCTGCTAAACCTGGGCTTTCTATAAACTGGGAAAAGTTCTGTTCGCCCTTTCCAGATGATTGTTTATCTGGGAGTGGAGCTAAACTCAACCACAATGAGAACCCGTTTATCACAGCCGAGAGCCGAGTGGCTTTTAAACCCCAAAATACATTATGGCAAAGACTGGTTCATCCCAAAGATCCAGTCCCCCGGCACAAACAGAGTAATGTTGTGTATGCTGTTCAGTGTCAGGAGGGCTGTGATCAGTCTTACATCGGGGAAACTAAACAGCCACTGGCCAAAAGGATGGACCAGCACAGAAGATCAACATCATCAGGCCAGGACTCTGCGGTCTACACTCATCTCCAGGCCAGCGGTCACTCTTTCAAGTATGAAGATGTTCACATCCTGGATAGAGAGGAACGATGGTTTGAGAGAGGAGTAAAGGAGGCCATCTTTGTGAAAAGAAATCGTCCATCATTAAACAGGGGTGGAGGCCTCAGGGTTCAACTGTCCCCTTCTTACAATGCTGTGATTGCTAGTATCACTCAGCCCTCTGTGAATAGTAAACAGCCATCAGTGTGCTAATGATCCATTGTTAGGCTGATGGTCCTTCTTGAGCATGTGATCAGCTGGTTCTGGTTGTCAGCAGCAAAACTGGTTGATCCACTCTGAGAAGGTGCTATTTAAGAGACTGAGCTGAAAACAGCACCTCAGACTGAGGAAGTCTCTTGGATGAGAGACAAAACGTTTCTAGATTTTTTTGCTTTGTTTTGTTTTTTTGAATGTCCAGAGGACCAGATTGAACTTTTTTGGAGCCCTGCAGTTAGTTCTGACGTCGGCAAAGAGAGTGAGTGATTATCTGCTCTCTCTGTTGCTCCATCACGTCTCAGAATTCAAGCTGACGGCAGTTCAGCTGTACTGCGTTTTAACCCTGCTCTGAAAAGCATCACAAGCTCATTCAGATCGAGAGTGATAACCTTGGATGGGTTTTACACTCCTCCTCATAATTCTGAAGAGGAAGCAACATCTCACCTCCTCTGTTTCGTGCGCACGTTTTAGTGTTATGTGACGCACACGGCCGCACGGCGCCGTTTTCAGCGTCTGTTCGTGCATTACAGGGACAGCTCTTAAGGACACCCTCTATCCACTCAGCGCCTCTCACACTGGTTGTGTGAGGCTATTTCTGAAGCTTACAGTTCATCTGGGCTGGATCCTCCAGAGAATCTCAGAGCACATTCCACCAGAGGGTTTTCATCCTCCATGGCTCTGCATGGAGGGCTGACAGTGGAGGATATCTGTATGGCGGCTGCCTGGTCATCGCCATGTTCAATTATTCGTTTTATCTACGTGATGTTTCTACTTTCTCCATGACCCATTCTGTTCTCAGGGTTCTGACAGAATGATTATTATTTGTTTCATGGAGCTTCACTTTTAAGCTCACACCTGCCTGCATGCAGTCACAATGTGAGATATTTATTATCAGTCACAAGTTCATGACTGCTGATTTTATCGTTATTAATCGGTTCATCCTGAGGAGCTGTTGGTCTGCTCTGTTCATCGTTACACTGTTACAATTCGTATCCTTCGTTGTTCCTATTCAGAGTAGCAGGTCTGCTATCTCAGCCTTTTTTCCTCACCAGAGATCTTTTCTCTGATGCGCTCCTACGCATGGAGCACGTAATTACGCACAGAGAAGGCTGAGTGATGAAATGCTTTTTTGTGCAAGCAGGTGCTTCATGTTGTGTCTGAGTGGACCCAGTGAGGCATAGACTACATCCTGCTTCACCTTTAACCCACTAGCGATAGCCTTAAAGGGCAAAGCCTATACGCAATAGAACGTTGGTTACATACTGTAACCCCAGATTCTTTGAGTATAGGCACAGCCCTTTAAGCTCTGGGCCTCACTGGTTCCTAAATAGCTGAAGAAAAAAGCTATTTGGGAGCCGATTACCCAGTCTCACCGTAATTTATACGGACCGGGGGTGAGACCCACACAGTAGGTGGGTGTGGACTAAAGTTTTCAGTGCTGTGCTGCGCACAAAGGGATAAACCCACTAGTGATAGCCTTAACTAGGGGGTTTCCTCGATAAACTCCCAGTTCAAAACCACCGGAATTTCAAGAAATTACCGTAATTTCCGGACTATATGCCGCTATTCTTTTCCACACGCTTTGAACACTGGCTTAAACAATGCTGCGGCTAATTTACAGATATACAGGTCCTTCTAAAAAAATTAGCATATTGTGATAAAGGTCATTATTTTCCATAATGTAATGATAAAAATGAAACTTTCATATATTTCAGATTCATTGCACACCAACTGAAATATTTCAGGTCTTTAATTGTTTTAATACTGATGATTATGGCATACAGCTCATGAAAACCCAAAATGCCTGTCCCAAAAAATGAGCATATCATGAAAAGGTTCTCTAAACAAGCTATTAACCTAACCATCTGAATCAACGACGTAACTCTAAACACCTGCAAAAGATTCCTAAGGCTTTTAAAAACTCCCAGCCTTGTTCATTACTCAAAACCACAATCATGGGTAAGACTGCCGACCTGACTGCTGTCCAGAAGGCCATCATTGACACCCTCAAGCAAGAGGGTAAGACACAGAAAGAAATTGCTGAACAAATAGGCTGTTCCCAGAGTGCTGTATCAAGGCACCTCAGTGGGAAGTCTGTGGGAAGGGAAAAGTGTGGCAGAAAACGCTGCACAACGAGAAGAGGTGACCGGACCCTGAGGAGGATTGTGGAGAAGGGCCGATTCCAGACCTTGGGGGACCTGCGGAAGCAGTGGACTGAGTCTGGAGTAGAAACATCCAGAGCCACCGTGCACAGGCGTGTGCAGGAAATGGGCTACAGGTGCCGCATTCCCCAGGTCAAGCCACTTTTGAACAAGAGACTGCGTCAGAAGCATCTCACCTGGGACTGCTGCTGAGTGGTCCAAAGTTATGTTCTCTGATTACAGTAAATTTTGCATTTCCTTTGGAAATCAAGGTCCCAGAGTCTGGAGGAAGAGAGGAGACACAGAATTCACATTGCTTGAGGTCCAGTGTCAAGTTTCCACAGTCACTGGGGTGCCATGTCAGCTGCTGGTGTTGGTCCACTGTGTTTTATCAAGGGCAGGGTCAATGCAGCAGCTATCAGGAGATTTTGGAGCACTTCATGCTTCCATCTGCTGAAAAGCTTTATGGAGATGAAGATTTCATTTTTCAGCACGACCTGGCACCTGCTCACAGTGCCAAAACCACTGGTAAATGGTTTACTGACCATGGTATTACTGTGCTCAATTGGCCTGCCAACTCTCCTGACCTGAACCCCAGAGAGAACCTGTGGGATATTGTGGAGAGAAAGTTGAGAGACACAAGACCCAACACTCTGGATGAGCTTAAGGCCGCTATCGAAGCATCCTGGGCCTCCATAACACCTCAGCAGTGCCACAGGCTGATTGCCTCCATGCCACGCCGCACTGAAGCAGTCATTCATGCAAAAGGATTCCCGACCAAGTATTGAGTGCATAACTGAACATGATTATTTGAAGGTTGGTGTTTTTTGTATTAAAAACACTTGTCTTTCATTGGTGGGATGAAATATGCTAATTTTTTGGGACAGGCATTTTGGGTTTTCATGAGCTGTATGCCATAATCATCAGTATTAAAACAATTAAAGACCTGAAATATTTCAGTTGGTGTGCAATGAATCTGAAATATATGAAAGTTTCATTTTTATCATTACATTATGGAAAATAATGACCTTTATCACAATATGCTCATTTTTTGAGAAGGACCTGTGTATATTTTTTTGATGGGCTATCGAGCTTCAAGCCACCAAAACATTTAGCTTCGTCACACCTAGGCGCTCACATAGCTGCCCATACACGTCTCTCTTTGGGGGGGTAGCGATTAATGACTTCCTGGTAGACTACTGTATATATATATTTTTTTAATCAGCCGTGTTACAGGCACTGGTAAGAAAAAAAACATATAGCGTATTTTTGCGTGTTACTGGTACATATTTCATTAAAAGTTAAAAAAATCTTTTTGTGTAAAAATTTTACGTTACAACATGAACACCCATGGCTAATAGACAAGTGCGGCCTATTTATGTAAAATTTTAATTTTCTTTTTAAATTTAGCGGGCGTGGCTTATATTCAGGTGTGCTCAATAGTCCAGAAATTACAGTAATCAATTTTCTCTATGTGATGAATGTAAACTATCCCTATGGCACAAACAACTGTCAGAGCCCGTCCCCTCACCCCAGGGGTCTGCAACCTGTGGCTCTGGAGCCACATGTGGTTCTTTGGTCCTGCTGCAGTGGCTCTTTCAAGCTTTGACCAAAACTAACATAAAACTGAATTTTATAGGATGTCATATCCACACACACCAAAAAAAGACTAGTTTTAGCAGTTTTCTTGTTAATTCCCTTGCAAATATGTGGATACTAGTACTAATATACAGAGCAAATTATACTCCCTTTAACTTTATGCTTTATTTCTTCAAAGTAGGATACTCAATTACTCCACAATTTAAAAAAAAATGCATAAGCCTGCCCAGTTCATAGTTTGTTTGTTTTTTTAATTGGCTATATATATATATATATATATATATATATTTATATATATATATATATATATATATTTTTTTTTTTTTTTTTTTTATTTATTTATTTTTTTTAAGAATACAGTCTTCTGTGAAGACTTGTAGCCTGGATATGGGCACCAGTGACTCCCTGCAACCCAAAAAGGAAGAAACGCAAAAAGACGGATGGATGGATGGAAGCCAGTTTTTTCTTTTGTCTTAAAATGTAAAAATATCAATAAATGTTTTCATTCAACCTTTATTTAGACAGGTAAATCCCATTGAGCCTCAAGGACTCATTTACAAGAGAGACCTGATTTCAACAAAGAAAGATGACAACAATGAACGGTTATAAAAAGGCATACAGATATCCTGATGCATGCTCAATAATCCAGGTAGAAAAATCTAAAAAAGTTATATCTGAAATTCTTTTCACAAAGGAGGCCATCTTTGTGAAAAGAAACCGTCCATCATTAAACAGGGGTGGAGCCTCCAGGTTCAACTGTCCCCCTCTTACAATGCTGTGATTGCTAGTATCACTCAGCCCTCTGTGAACAGTAAACAGCCATCAGGTGCTAATGATCCATTGTTAGGCTGATGGTCCTTCTTGAGCATGTGATCAGCTGGTTCTGGTTGTCAGCAGCAAACTGGTTGATCCACTCTAAGAAGGTGCTATTTAAGAGACTGAGCTGAATACAGCTCCTCAGACTGAAGAAGTCTCTCGGATGAGAGACAAAACGTTTCTACATTTTTTTGTTGATTTGCTTTGTTTTTTTGAATGTCCAAAGGACAAGATTTAACTTTTTTAGAAGGCATACAGAGTTTTTTTATTTTTTTTTTAATATAAATAGGATGGCTAAAAAAAAAAAAGAAAAGTAACAAAAAACAGCTAGATTCTAAGGCGAATGTAGAAAACTAAAAACAGGAACATGTCTGCATTGGTCCCTGCCAGGAGTCCAACAAATTCTTAAAGACACTTAGAGAGGTCAAAGGTCGAGAGCTTCAGGTCTTTTTACAAGATATTCCAGGAAACAGGAGCGGAGTAGGAGAAGGTCCTTTTGTCTAGTTCAGTCCTCACTGAGGGAACACTGCAGGTAATGATGTCCTGAGAGCGCACGCTGTAGCTGCACTCACACAGAGACATGTAGGAGGAGATGTATGAAGGCAGCAGACCAGGAAGTGATTTAAAGATGAAGATGTACCAGTGGGAGAGTCTGTGTGAAGTTAATGGTGACCAGTTAACCAGTGAATACTGGGTGCAGTGGTGGGTACGATAATCACAGCCAGTTATGAATCTTAGTGCACCATGATAGACAGCATCCAACATCTGCAGCATCCAACATCTGCAGCATCCAACATCTGCAGGGTTCTTGTAGGAGCGTTCATGTAAATAATGTCACCAAAATCAATTGAGGGAAGGAAAGTCACAGATACAAGGTGTTTTCTAACATTCAGGGTTAGACAGGATCTGTTTCTGAAAAAGAAACCCAGTTTAACTTCCAGTTTCTTTACCAAGTTTTCCACATGGAGCTTAAAAGAAAGATGTGAGTCGACCAAGATACCCAAATATTTATAGGAATCAACAAACTCAATGGGGACACCATTTGAGGTTGAGATCAGAGGAAGAACTGCTGGGACCAACTTCCTATGTTAACAATCATTAGATGTTTTAGATTTATAATTTTATACCTAAAGGCCAGAAAAGCCCCCTCTAACAAACTTAAAGTAGCCCATGGGCCACCAGTTGATAATGACAATTGTAGCAGGTATTGCGGCTCTGGACATGTTTAATTTAGTGAACAAAAGGACAAAAATGACTCTTTTGATCATAAAGGTTGCAGACCCCTGCCTCACCCCAAGGCGCAGGGAAGCTACCTTCTCATACACTGGGGAAAACTCCAACACACAGGCACTAAGTCAGGAGGCTAAATGTAGACCCACACCAGCTCTGCGCCTCTCACCATGGACAACTCCAGAGTGGAATAAGGTCCTCTCAAGGAGATCGGTTCCAGAGCCCATGCTGTGTGTTGAGGTGAGCCCAACTATATCTAGTCGGTACCTCTCAACCTCATGCACAAGCTCATGCTCCTTCCCCGTCTGAGAGATGATGTTCCATGTCCCAAGAGCCAGCTTTGGTAAGCCAGGGTCAAAGTGCGAAGGCCCCCGTCTTTTGGCCGCTGCCCATGGTGTCATGCACCCGACTCATATGGCCCCTCCTGCAGGTGGTGGACCGATAGGAAGGCAAACCCATGTTACTAGTTTAGGCTGAGCCCGACCAGGCCTCATGGGTAGAGATCCGGTCACCAGGCGCTCGAGGACGAGTCCCTCCCTCAGGTCTGGGAGGGGCTGGTGGGGCTCCAGTAAACCATGTCCAGGAAAGGTACACTGAGCTCTTTCTGTTTTCTGTCTCCCGAGCCTTCTTAGATAGATAACTTTTACTAATTGGGCTTTATAATGTATGTGAATGTTTCTGTTCAGTGATCTTAGACAACTTCTGTTGTGACGTGGCACTATATAAATAAACTGAATTGAACTGAATCAAATTTAATTCCATTGAGGAAAAATTGTCAAATGCATATCTGGGAAAATAAACCTGTATGATGTTCTTGTCACATATTTTCATATAACTTTATATTACAATTATCATATGTAATAAAATCTTGTAATGATTTTGGCATTTGAAGATTTTAGGTGTGAAGTCCAATCTGTTAATCTGAGGAAATCTACTTGTTTGTATTGCATCAGATGATTTATCTTTGACTAATTTTCACATTAAACTTGCATCAGTTTGCTATATTGTAATTATTTACCTATTTATCGGTTTGTTTGTTAGTTTTACAATCTTTTAGCCTATTTAAATATTCAGTGTAGCACTAAACAGTACCAATCATTGCTGCCCAATGAAAACAAAGAGCAGCATTAAAAAATGAAGAGAATTGTACCTCTCCCTTCTTGTCTTGCCAGGGATTAGGGCTGACCCGTTCTTCAGTTTCAGGAGGGACAGGAGGGCCTTCTTCATCACTCACGCTGGATGAAGATGAAGAGTCTAACGGGGGAACAGGTGAGCTGGGAGGACACTCTGCTGGTAAAATCATGCTGGCAGGCATCAGAGCACCAACCACCGCATCCCTGAGACAACACATAGCACATCGAATTACCAGTAATAGTAATACATTTTATTATGCGCAAGTAGATAGACTGAACCATTTAGTTCTTTCACATTTCTTTTGTTTCCTGTTTGAAGCTACATCCTTAGCAAAATGTCACTCCCCCCCGGCTTTCTAACGAGGCACACGTGTTCTTCCCGCTCTCTGTTTTCCTCCTGCTTTTTTTTCCTCTGTCGGTGTATCGGAGCAGCTCCTATTTTTTTTACACACTTCCGAAATGAAAACTACCGTTTTGGATCTGGCCAACTGGACTTTCGACGCAAATGACAAAATCTCTTCAACAAAGCGACAGGGTCCTGGAGAACCCTCATCTCGGACAACACGCATGCAGCTGGATAAATCTCTGGGGGGGATGTGTCTGCATCTGCCATCAAATGAGGACGCCGGAATTGCCGATAATTGGATTTATAATAACAGGTTTCCTGTTCTTGGAATAGTCTGGGTCCTGGTTTATCAACATACAAAGAAGATGGCTGCAGCTAATTTGGACCTCGACAAGTTGTTGTCTATGTGAAGGTCTGGTTCGTGCTGGAGGACTCAATATCAGCTGATTTATGAGCGAAGTGATTTGAATCGCAGGCCGCCTGAGGCTTTGGGACTCGTCAGCATGAAAACATCTTGAAGAAGCTCATAAGCACAGACCAGTAGAATGCACCCTAATCTGGACATTTGGGACCTTGGAAAGTATCAGTACAGACACAAAGGCTGACGAGGAAAAAATAGTCTGCCTGAATAAAACAACAATTGTGGTCTATCTGAATCTGACTCCCCGGTCGGCCTCGGAACAGGCCGATTTATCAATTTATCCTGTGAAATGTGTAAACTAAGGAAAAGCTTTGTCTATTGCACCCCCACCCCTTCTGTGGAGGCTTATCAGAACTGTGGCGGCTGACCATCATCTTATCAGGACAAAGGACTATCTGCTAGTGCTTCATGGACCGTCTTGTTGTAAATGCATATGTAACGTGTTCATAAATGTGCTGCTGGCAGAGTTTTTGATGTTTTAAATCGTGTCTTGTTAGAACAAGGTGTGAAGAGATCTTTTTTTGTAATGCCACTATCCCTCTCCTCATGGCTTTGTCCCTTTTTCGATATAGAAAATGTATTCTGAATAAGAATAAGAAGGCCTCGCTTTATAGCAGAAGCTTCGTGCACTCCGTCCATCTTTCGGACGGCTGTACGTACATGTTCTCGTTGTATCTCTGTGCAATGATAATAAAGCTTATTCTGATTCTTCTGACAAGACAAGTTAAAGACACTAGACAGGGACGACCCAAATAGTGCAGACAACATACCTTGCATACATGATTTGGAGAGCTGACAGGATGTGAGACAGAGCCTGCTGTTTGGCCAGGTTTCCATCCAGACTAAGGAGAATTTTAGCCAGAGAGGGCCGATTTGGCTTCACGCTGTTCTGACCACTCATCTTGTTGCTCACTGATGAGGAGTCGCTGTCTGACTGGACACCTGAAGTGAATAAAATAAAAATAAGCAAAATTAAACACTGTAAACATATGAAAACAGCTTCAGCACTTAGTTTATGGTCTGCATTATGAGAAGGGCTGGGCCACATCATATCATTCACGATAATACCAGTAAAAAAAGCTTGCCCAGGCAAAAAAATGATATCATGATATGCTAATTTCATGACGTAATATGTCAGAGCGCCCCGCCCCGCCCCTTTAACAGAACCGAGCGCGCCTAACAACCAAACCGAACTGCACACCCCCCCGCCACCTGTCGGTACTGGTGTAACGCTTATTAGTTGAGCAAAAGCTAGCTAAAAACAAACAATGTGTGGCTCAGCTGTCTCTCCATCCAGCTCTAAACTGCAGCTACAGACAGCTCAAGTTCTGTCTCAATAGTTCCACAGTCCATGGAGCAAGAACAGAGTCATGTGATCAGAGACAGAGCATCAGAGAAATGAATCATTCCTGCAGGAACAGAGGAAACGCCACAAGCTTCAGGGTCAGATGATCACCTTGTTACAACTTCTGGAAGTTATAGCTCATTTGAAGAAACATATATTTTGTTTTATGTTACATTTATGATCAACAGATCTTGAGCTTCATTTTATTTTATTTAGTTATTTTGGGAAACTTCACCTGCACTTTAGTTTTTGCGGTGGATTTATTGATCTATATTTTGTGCAGACTTTTTCATCTAAATAACAGAAGGATCACAGACATCTATGCAGGAAGAGAGCCACCTGCGTCATGTCAACCAGTCTAACTTCTCTGGTTAACATTATTACCTTGAGCAAGATGGTGCCAGTGTGTGTGGCTGTCCGTCTGTCGCTCTTGGTTTGGTTTGTTTTATTTCTCTGTTTTGTGCTCAGCACTAAGTCTGTGCTTGTGTACAATCGTCAGTCCCTCCTGGATATTCGACATGTTGGCAATCTCAATGCCTTTGATTATGGTGGACAGAAAACTTTACCCCCGCTCCTGTCAGGAGTCCCAGCTCATCTCCTCAGGGCACCTGCGCTGCCCCCCCCCCAGCGGAAACGTTGTCGTTACCGCGGTAAACGTGGAGGGCAACTGGTGAAACTAAAGATCTGCCTGGCCCATTCTATATCCATTTCTCAGACATGAAATTGATTATTTCCATCTTTCGCTGTGCCTTGGCGTTTCCTGGATCCTGTTGACAGCTGCCTGCTACCTGTCACCGGCCTGGATGCGGGTGTTCACCCCCACCCCTCCTGCTTCTCTCGGCTCCACCGGCGTGGAGTGAACCTGCAGAGCCTGAAGACGCTGCCCCGGGCCCTAGGGCCCATCAGATTATATGCTGCGGTTTCTGCCAGGATTGGCCTGGTGAACACCAGATCTCTGACAAACAAAACTTTCATCCTGCGGGACTTTTTCAGTTCCTGTCATTTGGATTTGCTCTGCATCACAGAGACCTGGGTTGAGGCTGATGACTCCAGTGTTTTTGTTGAACTTCTACCAGCTGCTCTTATCTAAGCTCCCCTCGGATGTCAGGCCGTGGAGGAGGAACGGCGGTGGTTTATAAAAACAACTTTAAATGCAAGCAGTGCTCTGCACTATCTTCTTTCTCCAGCTTCGAGGTGACTTTATTTGAGGTGGGTTGCTCACACCCCGTGCTGTGCGCTGTCATCTACAGAGCCCCTAAATATAATAAGGATTTCTTGAATGACTTTTCTGATTTCCTGACCGGAATAATGATAAACTATGATCGAGTCCTTATTGTTGGGGATTTTAACATACATGTATGCTGCCCAGAGAAACCACTGGTGAAGGACTTTCTCAGCCTCACTGATTCTTAACCTGGTTCAGTGGGTGGCTGGTCCCACACATGAACATGGACACACGTTGGACCTGGTTCAGTGGGTGGCTGGTCCCACACATGAACATACACACACGTTGGACCTGGTTCTTTCTCACGGCTTGTCTGTGACCGACCTGGAACTATATGATAATGTGATTTCTGACCATAGGCCTGTTTTATTTGATGTTGGTTTGTCCTGTGCTCCAGTTAAATCCTGCGCTCCTGCCCAGCGACGTAGAGTTTTTAACCCTTCCACCCCTGGTCAGTTCTCTGCTGCCTTTGAACAGCTCCGTGCTCCCTCTGGCTCTGCTGCTGACACCGAACAGCTGAGCTCCTGGTTTGACTCCTCCTGTCAAACCATTTTGGACTGTGTAGCTCCATCTAAACTGGTGCATCCTAAAGCCAGATCTGAACCCTGGTTTAATAAACAAAGTATTGCAACCAGACAGGAGTGCCGCAGAGCTGAACGGAGATGGAAAAAGGATAAACTGGAGGTTTCATTTTACATTTTAAAGGACTGTCAACGTCAGTACCAGAACACTGTTAAAGAGGCCAAAAAACAACACGTCAGATATTATTGTGTCCAATCATAATAATCCATGTGTCCTTTTTAAAACTATTGACTCTGTCCTTAAGGCCCCACAACATGTCTGCCTGGAAGCCTCTACTGAACTTTGTAATGACTTCCTGCAGTTTTTTATAAATAAGGTTGTTACTACAAGGGCCCTTATTTCAGCCCCTGCTTTTGACCCCTCCTGCTTGGTCCTCTGCCTTGCTGTGTTCGATAGATTTGAACCAGTGGCTCTGACCCTTTTAGAGGATGTGGTCGGCCATATTAAACCATCAGGTTCTCCTCGTGACCTTGTCCCCCCTCGTCTTTTAAAAGAGGTGTTTTCCAGCATCAGGCAGGTGATCCTTGCTGTTATCAATAGCAGTCTGTCCTCAGGTGTTGTCCCAGTAAGTTTTAAACATGATGTGGTGCAGCTCCTGCTTAAAAAGCCTAGCCTAGACCAAACTGTCTTGGCTAACTTTAGGCCCATCTCCAAGCTGCCTTTTATTTTAAAAAAATTAGAAAAAAATTGTATATTCACAGGTCAAATGTTTTCTGGATGAGCACAATATCCTGATGGTTTTTCAGTCTGGCTTCAAAACTCGCCACAGCACAGAATCAGCTCTAGTCAGAGTTTTTAATGATATTCTTATGGCCAATGACTCTGGTGAACATGTGGTTCTTGTCCTGCTGTCCTCCTGTCCTGTTCTCCCTGGGTTGTTTGGATCTTTTGATCAGGGTTCCTGGTTGCGATGGCCGGCCCTTTGGCTGGGGTGGCTGCCAGGTTCTGGCGGGGGCTCGGCTGTGGTTATGTGTGTGTGTGGTCGTTGGTGGTGCATGGCGGCGGTCAGGGGCGTGGCTTCACTTTGATGGGGTGCTGGCTGGTCGGCCTGATGTGACATTCGTGGTGGGGGGTGCTCTGTGTGCGCATGGGTGGCGTGCCGGGGCCTCTCTGGGCCTGTGGTGTGGTGCTGTAGGGATGCATTGGTGCGCTGGGCCGGCCTTCATCAGCTGCTGCTCTGGCCCCCGGCCTGGGGCCGGCTTGCGGTCGCTGTCGGGGGGGTGGGACGCATGGACGTGTGCCCGTTTATGTCTCAGGTTGGGTTTTAGGTGGGCCCCTCTCTTGGATCAGTTTTGGCCCCCCATTTGGTGTGTCATGCTCCGCTCCGGTGGTGGGCCCCCTGCCGCCAGTGCGTTGGCAGCTCTCAGCAGCTGGGGCTGGGTGGTGGGGTGTGTGCGGGCCCGGCCAGCCCTAGTGGCTGCCTGCCGGGGCCTGGGTGCTCTGGCTCTGTCGGGCCTCTACTGGAAGGTGGTATGACCTCGGGACTCTGGTTTCGGTGTCCATGGCCGGATCCACCCTGGAGGGGCGAGTTGCTCTGCTTGTGAAAGTAAATCTGTTGGGCATCACTTTAACACTCAGACAATAATTTTAAGTGTCACAATGCTGGACAGGACAAGGGAGAAAAAAAAAGGAATCCATGAAAAGTGGCCAGTAGCCTCCACAGCGCCCCCTAGAATATTTTAAAACCTGAGTATCAAGTCATTTTTTCACCAATAATTCTGAAACTTGGTGAACATCTGGATCTTCCCAGGAGCTATGAAAAAGTATCTTGGCGCCCTGGTCCAAACTCAAAAGGAAGTCGGCCATTTTGGGTCAAAGGGTCATTTTTGAGCGTTTCTAATGGCGAATTTTAACAAACTCCTCCTAGGGATTTTGATGGATTGCCTTCAAACTTGGTTAAAATGCCCTTAACACATTGGGGAGGATTTTTTCAAAAGATTTCGGTTTCATATACAAACCGGATTCCAAAAAAGTTGGGACACTAAACAAATTGTGAATAAAAACTAAATGCAATGATGTGGAGATGGCAAATGTCAATATTTTATTCGTAATATAAAATAGATGACATATCAAAAGTTTAATCTGAGTAAATGTAACATTTTAAAGGAAAAATATGTTTATTCAAAATTTCACAGTGTCAAAAAATCCCAAAAAAAGTTGGGACAAGTAGCAATAAGTGGCTGGAAAAAGGAAATTGAGCATATAACGAACAGCTGGAAGACCAATTAACACTAATTAGGTCAATTGACAACATGATTGGGTAAAAAAAAAGGTTCTCAGAGTTTCAGTGTCTCTCAGAAGCCAAAATGGTAAGAGGATCACCAATTCCACCATTGTTGCGCAGAAAGATAGTGACATAATACCAGAATGGTGTTACCCAGCGTAAAATAGCGAAGACTTTTAAGTTATCATCATCAACCGTGCATAACATCATCAAAAGATTCAGAGAATCTGGAACAATCGCTGTGCGTAAGGGTCAAGGCCGTAAAACTCTACTGGATGCTCGTGATCTCCGGGCCCTTAAACGTCACTGCACCTCAAACAGGAATGCCACTGTCAAGGAAATAACAGAATGGGCTCAGGAATACTTCCAGAAAGCATTGTCAGTGAACACAATCCACCGTGCCATCTGCCGTTGCCAGCTGAAACTCTACAGTGCAAAGAGGAAGCCATTTCTAAGCAAGCTCCACAAGCTCAGACGTTTGCACTGGGCCAGGGGTCATTTAAAATGGAGTGTGGCAAAATGGAAGACTGTTCTGTGGTCAGATGAGTCACGATTTGAAGTTCTTT